TCAGCTTTAGCTGCTGGAATAATGAATGTTCCAGCACATGTTGCACGCATTACATAACTCTACTCATATACACCAGGCCATAATAATGATCGAAATGCTTCAGCACGCTCATCTCTTAAATTTTCATGTTCAGTTCAATCACTAGTAAAATATCGTCGACATTCACCATAACAACCATTTATTTTTGACCTTATTACTGATGAGTTTGTATCATCTGTCAAACCGCCGTTTAATTTTATATTTAATGCTTCACAACCAGATGGTAAATAATCAACTAGTGCTATATAATATCGTCGTTGTGTTGTTGTCATTGTTAATGTGACTCTGATTTTTTCATTTAATTTGAATTTCCAAGTCCCATCTGATTGCTTTTGAACATGTGATGGATCATCAATAGCTGTGTATGTTCCTTCGATTTTAAAACTGTAATTAACTGCATCTATTTGTAGACTCGATGGAGCAGGGTGTGGGTGAGGTGTGGGGTGTGAGTGTGGGTGGGTGTTGGGGTGTGGGTGTGTGCGTGTGGGTGTGTGGGTGTGGGTGTGTGGGTGTGGGTGTGTGGGTGTGTGGGTGTGGGTGTGAGTGTGAGTATGGGTGTTGGAAATGAAGAGATCGTCACTCACGCCCACACCCCACCTACACCTACACTCCACCCACACCCACATCCACACCCCACCAATACCCACACCCCAGCCATACTCACACCCCACCCACACCCACACTCCACCCACACCCACACTCCACCCACACCCACACTCCACCCACACCCACACCCACCCACACCCACACCCACCCACACCCACGCCTACACCCTGAAAGTCAGAGGTATTTTCAATAGTTGTATTGAAGACTTATCAATGAGCAGGGTATCACTCTTTCTAGACTATTATAAGATCTGGACATCTTATAGAAGAATTGTGGAGATCCATATAGATTGTATGGAACGATCGGAAGGGGGAGCCCTAGTCGAATGGGGTACGTCTCTGACTCGAAACTAGAGCGTACGAGGCTCGATTCGTCCTCCCCGAACAAAGCACACGGTCTTAAAAACATATTGTGCAAGCTTAATGGCTTTAATCTTATCGTACAAGCAATCTGTTTAGACACATCGTATATAATCTCGGCGGAATGTATGTGCACGTTGGAAGGTCGTGTTTCAATATATCGTTGAACGGCCACATACAACATGCATTATATTCCGTACTTTCTATGCTATGCTTATGCTTGCTTTTCTCTCTTTGTGTAACCTGTTAATTGTAAGCTACACTGTCCCTTTAGGACCGACATGGTCAGAGGGTTTAACTTCGCATAATAAAAAAAAACGATCGGAAGGTATCGCTTTGGCAGCTTTCAATAGAGACGAAATGAAGAAAACAGGCGAAGAAGCAGCTCATTTGTAGAATTGGACAAGTTTTGATGATATTTGGGTTTCCTCGGCTTGGAAGCTTGTAAATCTTTGCTATATTTGTGTATTTGATCGAAGTCGGATACTTATGGAATGAGTTCAGACCTCATTGTCGACGTCATCAGACGTGAATATGTTAATGGAAGAAGCGGTGCTGAAATTCTCTATATAGTACCATGAACTAATATTGCCATGGCTCGAAATGTTATATTTGCGACCCTATAGAAAGTTTTACGCACTAAAAATCTTGTGAGTCTCTTTATTACTCCGTGAATCGTGTGCTTGGTTTCTTTCAGAATACAATCGGCACAGTTTTTGAAAGAAACCTCAACGAACAGGATAGAAAGTAACTGAAAACACATTTTATGGACCCCTTTACACGTTGAAACGGTTTACTTTCTAGCTCTAATCTATACATTCCCAGTTTTACACTTCAGTTACATCACACAGAGCAAGCACTGAGTGTCCTTCTTGAAGTTAAGAAAATCTCTGCAGTGGCAAGAAAAATACCTTTTCTCTAGTTTCTACTTTTCGACACACAAGCATTTTGCTTTTCTTTACTCATGTACGTTTTGGGCCTGTTTCATCTAGACAGATGCAGTTTTCAACTTAATTGAGTGCAATCCGCAATCACTGTCAATTACGACTTGTTGGCGATTGCAACACACAGTCTCTTCGATACTTGAAACAGGTGCGAATGATTCTAATGGATCTCTGCTCCATTTGCAAAGCTATCTTTGATAGTGATCTCTACTCAGCATTTAGCTTTTTATGAATTTTCCATGGAGACAGCAATAAACAGATGAATGAGTTACTGTAGCATACTGAGAAACAGTTGACTTAAATAGACAGCAAAATGTATTCATAATTATTCAAAACTCTGTAACTCGGAGGAAGAAAAATCCTATGCGTTCTAAAAATGTCTATTCAAACTAGGACGTCACGCATACCGCATCAAAACTTGCGCTCTTTAAAATATCATTGCCTCAGGTGTTTTTATTCTGCAATCAATGCTGGAATTGGAAGTCAATCATTTCGCAAATCATAGCACGTTCTCCCTAGTAGATCATATGACTCCTAATATTCATTTCCCTGATGACGCAGATCTGTTTTCCCGCAGTGTACCAAACACATGTTAAGTGGTGACAATGGTAATTTATCCATAGTTTGGTATTTGACATCATATGTCGGAAAATGTCTTTTATCATCAAAATTCCATGATTTTGTAATTTCTGAGAAGCGCCATCGATTCGTTAACACCGGACACAATGTTCATTCTAATAATGTGAACATTTTTCTTTTACAAGGTAGAGCAACCGTGAATTTTCAGAGGAAAATCCGTTACCGAAAATAGTTTGGTATTGGAAAACACAAGTGGCCAAACTTTTTCGATGATCGAACATAGATGATTTTTTAGCTTTTGAAAAGCGCTGTTGATTGGCTAATACCAGAAAAAATGTTCATTCCAATAATGTGAACATTTTTCTTTTACAAGGTAGAGCAACCGTGAATTTTCAGAGGAAAATCCGTTACCGAAAATAGTTTGGTATTGGAAAGCACAAGTGGCCAAACTTTTTGGACTCTAAAAACTAGTGGATTTTGTAGCGCTTGAAAAGTTCTATCGATTGGTCGATACCAGAAAAAATGATCATTCCAAAAATGCGGACCTTTTCTTTTTACAAGATATAACAAGCATGAATTTTGAGAGGAAAATGAGCTACCGAAAATAGTTTGGTATTGGAAAGCACAAGTGACCAAACTTTTTCGATGATCGGACATAGATGATTTTGTAGCTTTTGAAAAGCGCTATCGATTGGCTAATACCGGAAAAAATGTTCATGCGATTTTTAAAGATGAAACTCTTTCATAGGGAATAGCAGTGTACTCATAGTCCATAGGAAAACTGAGGTGTTTTGATTTTTTGCTGAAAGTGTTCGAAAGTGATTCGAAACACTTCACGATTTGGTATCAAAATAATCGTCTCAATTTGCCCTTTCATTCCTTAAGCGATTAGACTTGATTGTAAGATAAAAACCCAATGGGCCGATTTGTGGTCTTATACGCCCCCGTCCTTTATTGCCAAGTAAAGATATAACATGAGAGTTTTATTGCAGTGATCACACTGCAATAAAACTCTCATGTTATATCTTTACTTGGCAATAAATTTCATGCAAAGTATGATAGTATAAAAACATAGAGGGGGAAAGACTTTTGTTCGGAGTGTAAATATGGTCATCTTCCTGTGTTCTGTAGAAAACGACTTATTTGTATTGGATAGATTGTATAATCCTCTGCTTTTTGGTCAGTGAAACGCTACTGTTTGTTGCTATCGCATTCTATCATATCCGATTTCTTCCAAGTATCAGGAAACCGTTGTCAATATTAACCCATGTCAAGCAAACACGCTTGTAATCGAAGAAATACAGCGTTTCGCATCGCCCAGTATTGCGATCGTATAACTCCGTGATCGTATGCGCAGAAATACGATCGTTTATGGACAAATAAAGCTCGTCTACGGCTTTTGTTTTACTCTGTATTTCTTCGTATACGATTATATTTCTCCATGTACGGTTTAGAGATATACGATCGTCCAAAATGTGATTGTATACGGAGAAACTCGGAAGGAGAGGAATTACTTCATTTTGACAGTGAATTAATCGCGCAAGGTAATCTAGCAAAATACCACGGCATCTGTAATCAACCCAGTAATTTTGAAGGATCAGGTATTGTCGGATACAACATGAAAACTTTTATCGGTACCGGATAAGCAGAAATCTTCAACTTATGACATCATACTATCAGAAGCTATCTTGTCGAAGAAATCCTATCGAATCTGACAGGATTCTAGGGTAGATCTAGCCATCATGGAAGCTTCTTCTCATTTTAACGCATGCCTTACGCTACGAGTTAGCTATCCATTGTTAGATTCACATCACAAGCTACCCTGGGACTGAGAAAAATGGCCAAGAAAAATAAGCTCGATATTATCATTTTACATGTCGATCTTAACCAGAACAACTTGCACAAATTGTGAGAGAATGATGAGTTCACATTGGAAATATAATTGAGTGATTTTGCCTCCACTAGAGAGCTATAAAGATTGGGTCCCAATTACGGATATATAACTTCGCGGAAGTTTATCACTAAAATCATATAATTTAGCCTACTTAGCTATACAC